TGGTAGTGACCCCTGGAAAGCCATACTGCACCGGAGGAACACTCCAACGAAAAACATGGATAGCAGCCCGGCACAACGCCTCATGTCCCGTCGACTGAAGACTTCTATTCCAGTGACAGCTAAACTCCTTGAACCAGCTGTGGTAGTAGGAGACACTGAAAAGCTGCGCCACAGGAAGCAACTGGCCAAGTGCTTCTATGGCGCACGCATCAGTGAGCTCTGCAGAAGAGGCTCCCACGACTGACTGAGCCAAGCCCCCTGGGACTTGCACCAAGGGCCCCTGGCCTAGGTGGTGTCGAAACCTCAGATGGACACACTTACACCAGGGCTGGATGGCTATCTAAGCCACCTGTAAGGCTTAATTTGTGATAATATAATTCAGTACTGTTAGTAATTGGTGTAAACTAGTATAGCTAGAATGTATGGTTGTTGCTTGAGAAAAAAAAAAGAAAAAAATAAACAGGCTAAAGACTGTAACTCAATTTTTTCGCATTTTGGCATTTCTTAAGTTATGTTTGGTCGGGTAATGATTACTTGGAAAAGGAAGATGTTACGAGTCTAGTTAGAGTGATGTTATTGGCAATCAGTTAGTTTTGCTTTGATTGCGCACGACCCGCGAGTAGGGCTCAGCCCTGCGTGCCGGCGCCCCTGTTGTTCATTACATGGTTGAAGCTGATACACGTGTCTGTCATCATTCATGCGTCGTCACACACAAACAATACCTTTCTGTGATCATACCTTTAATTGGTTGTACGAAAATCTACCTAGCACATCACCAATCAATTTCCAATAATAGATGCACATGATGTATAAATTATGGGTCAAACGCAAAACTCAAGACATTGGATTGTAAAACAAACCAAACTGGACGACAAACAAAACAGTTCTTTTGGCACAGTTGGTGCTTAAATGGAAGGAAAGTTTAGCCCAGCTGTTACAAGCACGGAGAAAAAAAGCTTAGGGGGCTTTTGCAAGCTCCGTAAATGCTGCGTCATCTCGGACAAGGCGTTCAGCAGAGGAATGTGAAAAAAAGTGGTATAATGTTCTATCGACCTCGCGAAAGGAAATCACAGTTTATAAAGCAAGCATGCAAGCTACAGGTTTGTGTCATTACTTATATTGCTCTTATGACCCTCGCTATAATAGATGATGATGATAATAATAATAATTATTATTATTATTATATTTTTCCAGTTGCATTTTTAGGTGATGTAAGAGATTGTATCCAGTTCCTAATTAGGTTGGTAACAAAAAGAACGCCCTCATGATGGAGCCTGTACCTTTTTAT